ATGGGGGTCCTGCGCAGCCTTTCTCGGGCAACATTGAATTCATTCGGAAGACTTGATAGCTCTATGAAAAGCTGGCGTGTTTACTGTGTACAGTTCAGGGCAATATCTTCCCCAGGAACTCTGCTGTCACGGTCAGATAGCGTGTAGTATCTTTCGCTGTCTTTCTCTCCTCTTTTGCTATGCTTTTCCAGGGCGTTACTTTCAATGCGAACCTAGGAGCATTTCTCTACCTAATTAGGAAGAAAGGGACCAAACCTGGTCAGTAGCTTTGAGAAGTCTGTCCTGGCTAGTATAGAATAACGTGGGTAGCCTTTTAGAGCAACTTTTTCGGATAGTACCAAAGGTATCCGCAGCAGAAGGTCTCCCCATCAAGGAGATGTCATGTATATATGATGGTACGTCGAATTTGTTTACAGAAAGATGGATGCGATGCCCTCAGACCCGCTAAACTGTTTTCGGCGGATTGATTGTTACTGCCCTCTCCGACCGCCCAACCTCAGGTATGCCCAGTCATGTGCCGGCATGTTCGAAACCATGAGCCAAACAAGTAAATTCAGGATGAGAGTCTCTGCAAACAATCACCGTCTGGAATTCCAGAAGAGACTCACTTCCTGGCCTGCAGTCAGATGGTCATTTATATGCATCACACACTCCCTGTTCAAGTCTCTCTCTCTTTTGAGTTCTCTCTGTCGCAATCTTTTGTTTATTTACCTATCAGTGACAACCACTAAGCGACCTTGGCTTGCAGTGCTAATCGCATTAAGTGGATCCCACTCCATCGTATCAGATATCAGCCTCTCTCTGCCTGTTGTTTCGCTCTGGTCCTTAATGAACTGAAACAAGCCCCCCCGACCATCTGATCAAATCTAATCCTAATTCTGGATATCCCACACCCACTCAACCTCCCCCCGTTACTAGTGCTTGTTGGTTATCGCCGCGGGGGTAAACAGTCGGCAAATCATCCCAATTTTTCGCGGAGAGGTTCCCTTGAAAGACGGCTGTCCTTATTCCCATGACCGAGAAATAATCTCCGATTTTGTGGGAGTGTGGACTTGTATGAAGGCCCGCACACGGCGCTCTGGCGTCTTGTTATTGCGTTCTCTTGTCGCCGCCACGGTCTGACCATGACCTCGAAGTCTTCCACAACTCTTGCATTCACCCCCTCCGAAATGGTCTCTCAGGCCCAGATCCTGGACCGCTCCCTTCCCACGCAGAGCGCTACTTCTTCCGTGTCGCGCCACTCTGGCCGGCGACATCGCTCGAGCCGGTCCCACCACGGTGGGCTTATTCACCAACCTCAGAATGATTTCCCCATTTTCACGCACACCGGCGATGTCGAGATTGTTATCCGCGCAAGTGGACAAGAGAGGCGGTACCTATTACATCGGTTGATTTTGGCACAATGTTCAGGCTTCTTTGACACAAGTACTCGCGATGAATGGTCCCGACAGGCTGCTACATCCAGGCCACCCATTGCGGATCCCGCGATGCTATCCCGAATTAGCGAAGATAATTCGTCTTTGTCGAACGGTTCCACTCTTGCTCAGTCTGAAACGGGTGCAGTCTTTTCTCCAGATAAAAGAAGATGGAGATTTGAGCTAGACTGGGAAAACAAGGCGGAAGACGAGGAACCAATCCTAGTTCAGAAGGTCGGTTCATTGGTCCTATGTGTTGTTCATATGCTGACCCTCCGCGGCAACAGCCCCCAAGCTTCTCCAGCACGTTTGGAAATAACCTGGGGCAATATCCTCCGTCGGTGACGAAACCATCAGGTACACAAGCAGGCTTCATTCGTTCGATGGCAAATCTGGCCGGAATGCAATCCGTTATGAACATACCTCATACAGACACGGGAAACGCACCAATGGACCCGACGATCCGCGACTACGATAATCTTTTCCGCTTGTTCTACAATCATCCACCGGCGCTAAACAGCGTCAACATTGCGACTGCCTACGCCGAGTGCAGGTCTCTTCTTGCGCTAGCCGACATGTACGACGCTCTTCCAGTAACGGGGCCGCGAGTTGATCACCACCTCCTCGGATTTGGGTCGCGGCTCTTCAAGCAAATCGCGAAATACCCCCCGAGCTACCTCAAGCTGGGTTATCTTGCGCGCAGTCGCGTCATATACTCTGAGGCCCTAATCCACGTTGTTGGGCAATGGCCTGCGGGACTACCACACCTGCGAAATGGAGCATATTCTCCGCTCCCGGATACTGTACTAGATATTATCGAGGATAAGGTGGAGGATTTGGAATATATGAAGTCGCGCATCGACTCCAAACTGTTGCGACTCACGCTCACTACCTCCCGCGGCGAACGCGTGACGCCCAACAACGCATACCTCGATTGGCTTGCGGTCTCCCTCTTCCGGCAATGGCTTGTGGACAGCACCACGCCCCCTCCGGCTCCAATCCTCAAAAACTCTTCCTCGAGCACCCCGACCACAAGCAGCCACAGCCGTCCCTCACAACCCACTACCCACCGGGGTCAGGACCATCACTCGGCCGCTTCGAAAGCCGCTGTCGCTACCCCTCTAACCTCCGCACGAGTATACCGCCTGGTCGGTTCGGCGTCTACTCAGGCTTATCTGCCTCATGATGAACTGAAGAAGTTTCTCAGAGTGCACCCGACCCCATCGTCGGACTCCTTATACTCTCGTGATGTCCTGAAGCGATTCGAGCGCAAAATGGACGAACTCAAACGACTGGCTCGGGAAATCGTAAGGCCGTTAATGAGGAATTTCCTCGAGCTAGACCTCAAAGGCGGCGAACTGGACACCAGTTCAGGTGGCCTTCCTTATCTAACCTGCATCAAAGTCGAAGATGAAGATATTCCTTGGGATTAAACGATTACGATACCTCAAAAAGATCTACGATACGGCTTTTTTTTTTTTTTTTTCTTAACTTTTGATACCCTTTACCTATTTCACGTCACCACTCCCCTTATATTTGTGTTTGAGATATCGATTTTAGAAGTTTTCTGGTTTTTGTGTTTTGCTGACGACATGATGTTTTTAACGTGTTACGAAGTTATGATCCCGTCATCTAGGGTAGCGTCTTGGACTTAACTGTGTGTTCTCTGCTTAATTTTCCCTATTGCCGAACGTCATCCGTATGGTTTTGTACAGATATTTTTAAATCTGATGTCTGGGTTGATGTTGTACACGAGATAAACCGGCTCAAAAAAAATATCAGTTTCATGAGTAGTATAATGTACAATGCAATATCATATATAACATACAATTTCTATCGCTTCTGTAGTCACGAAGACTCCCCAATTACCTCTAAACCACCCATCCAGTTCCTCAGCACCTCCGGTACAACCACAACCTTCCGCTTCTCATCCCATCCGTTCTCCAGAATAGCGGCCAACACCCGGGGAACAGCCATGGCAGTACCGTTGACCGTATGCGGGAATCGAGACTCCTTAGCTGCTCCCCCGCGCACCCGGGTCCCCAACCGACGGCTCTGATAGTCCGTACAGATAGAAGCGGAGGTCACCTCGCCCCATGCCGACTCGAGCTCCGCACCGGCACGCAGGCGGGAGGGGAAGAGAGCCTCGATATCGCGTTTGCGGCTTGCACTAGCGCCCAGGTCCGTGGTCGGCATTTCCAGCACTCGGCAGGGGAGGTTAAGGGAGGTCAGAATCTCGGTCTGGATGGAGAGAAGCTCGTTGAAGAGATGGTCTGACGTCGGCAATCCCTTTGCACCTGCTTCTGGGAAGTTATCGGCCCACGCGAACATCTCCACCTTCGTGAATTCATGGACTCTGTATAACCCCTTCGTATCAACACCACGGGATCCCGCCTCGGCGCGATAGCACCGGCTAGGTCCGACCAGTTTGACGGGGAGATTCGCTGCGTCGATGTCGCGGCCGGCGTACATCGCCGCGAGAGGGATCTCGGCGGTTCCGGCCAGAGATCGCTGCGGCTTGCTCTTGTCCTTTTCGCTCTGTTCGATGGTCCAGATCTGCTGCTCGTTGTGCTGGTCGCGGGGTTGGAAACCGCAGGCTTCGGCGATGTAGGAGTAGACAATCGACGGGGGGGACACGGGCTTCCAGCCGCGTTTCCGAGCCACGCTCAATGCGTATTGAATCAATGCTTGCTCCAGGAGTGCGCCCTCATTGGTGAGGAAGTACCATCCCCAACCGGTGGTGGTGGCGGAGCTGGTGAAATCGATGAGGCCGAGGGACGTGCCGATCGCGACGTGGGAGCGACTAGGGTCCGGACTGGCGATCCACCCGGGCGGCGACTGGGGGTCGAAATTGAGGTATTCGATCAGTCTGGGGTCGTCTCCGACCGGTGTTTCGGAGGAGGATAGGTTGGGGAGGGATAGTGCGAGGCGGTTAATTTCTTCCGTACAGGCGGTCTTGCGCGTGGTCATCTCTTGCGATTCATCCTTGAGCCTTTGGGCCTCTGATCGCAGAGCTGTGAGCTCTTCTTCTTGGGGTGGGGTGTTTTCGCCATTGCCTCCTTCCTGGCGAGCGGAAGCTGCGAGCTTGCCGATGGCCTTTTCGAGCTGTTTGATGCGGGAGCGGGGGGTCTTGAGGTCTTGGTCAAGGCGGCGGGCTTCTTCGGACAGGCTTTGGATCTGAAATGGGTAGTCGGCGTGGGATGGGTAATTGCGGTCGACGCTGTTTTTGGAATAGAGCTCCGCGTTCTGACGGATGTGCTTCACGTCCGGGGTTGGCTTTGGGGCTGTCGCAGGGCGGAGAGCTTCGGCGCGGTGCGTAGAGGAGGAGAAGGCACGTCGCGTCAATGGCCTTGTCAGCCTGCAATTTAGGCAGACGTATGGTGTCCTTGTAGACGCCATTGAGGAGGAGGATGTGGTGGGCAGATGAGGAGGAAAAAGAGGTGAAAGTGGACTGACGACACTGACAAAAAAGATGTGGAGTAGGCACTTTTCCCGTTTGGGACGTCGCATCTAAACTTATTCGATACACTTTTGATCTTGACCAACACTTTCATATTTATGTTCCATTTCCGATATCTCTGGGCGGACATTTTCTTCATATAGCTTCCATGTCCTATGGTACCTCGAAATTGCCCCGGATATCCCAAAGTGTAATGCGTGTTGACGCGTCGGCATAAATATACTACTATCTGACAACTTTTTCACGATGAAAACCGAAATTAACCCGCATGGTAGACCACAGAAAACTAGGCATCGATTACGTCGCCATAACTCATATACACCCATCATCCTACTCATAGACCCAATTTGTGCTTCTTGACTCTCGCCCCAACGCCCGAGATCACCAGAACCGCGCCCACAACCACGGCCCACAGCGGAATCGACAGCACAGTCAAGTTGAAGGTCGTCCGCGTAGCAGCGGAAACAGTCGCAAGTTCAAGAAGCAGCAGGACATACCCGGATAGACGATGGTATTTGTAAAGCTTCTTACCATTGTCCACGCTGCCCAAGACCTTAACCGGGATAAAGTACTGAATGACTCCCCCGGTGGCCTGTATGATGATGAGAATGTAGGTAATCAGGCCCATCACACCATGAGGCGAGGTGAAGCGTGCATGACTGCCCTTGTTGACTTCGATGACGATGAAGCCCGCGATAAAGGTCGCCACGCTGGTCGCCTGGATGATGTAATGAATGCGCGCTCCTTTGAGCTTCTGCTGGGGTGTCGCAGTCGGTTGGAGGATGAGTGCAGCTTGAACTTGGAGGAGCAGCGCAGATGAGTTGAGGAGCTTCTGTCATCAGCTTATGTATTGTTTTTTTGCATCTCTCCAGTGCGTTAGACTCGACTTACCGGATGGGCAGAAAAGAGTATCAGCGGATGGGAGAAGATACCCGCCCAGACCAGGATGGCGATCTAAAATCGTACCCGTCAATCATCAGTTGCGATATGTTCGGGTACAAAACACATGGGCTTACAATCCAGATTCCAAACTGCGCCAGACTGGCCGTTCCTAAAACCAGGCGATTCGTTAAGTCGGGCTACTTTCCCATGCAAGTCAGGAAGTGATCTAACCGGTGAACAGATTATAGATGATATATGCATCCTCCTTCTGGACGACATCGCCCGGTCCGCCCAGCAGCGGCTCATCTTCTCGGGCCTCGATAGTTTGAGGATGTTCCTGGGGAATTCCGGTAGCAGAAGCCATTATATTTTACCAAGGTAATCTAAGTTAGAAGGAAAAAAGCGAACTTTCAGGACTAGCTAAGTCTACAAATAAGATATGAGAAAGTAGGAGGACCAGGAAGGAGGGGAAGAAGAAGAAGAAGAAGAAGAAGAAGCAGAAGCAACCTAAAAGATATAGTAGTAATTGTTGGTAATGACGAATTCGACGCGTTCGATTGGCAATGCATTTATGTGGGGCAGCGGAGTGTACCTCCAATGCCAAAGTACCAGCCATGCTTATCTGCCACCCGCGGGTCTCCAAGTACCTGCGCTTCGCTGGTACTTGAGCTGCATCCGGACAGACATCATGTAAGATCGACATCACCTCCGTTGTTAAAACCAAACCATATTAGCAACTCTCCTCTTCTTTCTGCAAACAATTTCGGCAATCCCCATCACATCGACGACAAAAACATTCCGGCAAGTGCTCATTTATACATTCCACTTCCTCTTCTGTGGCAATGTTGGTGTCGTCACTTGTGGCCTCCATCTCAGACCGATAGAGTGCACTGATAGCTCGGACATGCATCGCTGAATTTGCGCAAGAGGTGTTATCTCGCCGGGATGTGGTCTGATTACAGACCTGTACTCCCTGGTTTTGCCCTCCAGTTGGCTGCGTTGGAGTGTTGGGTATCGTTCCTCTATTATCCTGCTTGGCAGACCCTCCTTTCTCATCGAAAGTAGTGTTTCTTGGGCGCTTCATGATCGAGAGTGTCCGGCGCATACCTTTCAGCGGAATACCAGCTGTCATGTTGCCCTTATACCAGTAATGGGATGTATGTGGTCCGTGTTGCCGCACAATATACTAGTACGATGTAGACCTGTAAGAGTTGCAGGACAGGCAGGAGCAGCGAACAAAAGGCTCGAACAAAACTTCTTCTGTAAAAAAACATGAGGATCTAAATTGTAGACCTATCCTTCAGGTTTTATATACATGCGCACACAATGACCTTGTTCTAACGGGTCGTGTATTTCACTTTGTCTCCAAATAGACAAAGAATACCATTATCGAGTGGTATACACCTGGTCCGCTATCCGCTAGTATGCGGCAGGTTCTCTGCAGAAAGTGAACAGCCCCTTGTTGCCATGCTGGGTACTCAAAAGACCAACAGGTACATATCCGGAAATTCACGACAACATTTTTACATCCACGGCATCTTGATAACGGGACTTTCATTGCCAGATCCCGGTTGACCAACGACAACTTCCGCCCCAAGATTCTCCTTGTCCAGATTCATCACGATGTTGAACAATGTAGAAGTGCGCCTTGTGTGATGAGTACTAGGGTTCTCTTGGGAACATATGGATAGTGGCGCATTGCAGGTATCGGAGAAAATCTGTTCCCTTAGTAAACTAGGGGTGATCAAGTCGCCCTTAATGCCGTTGTTAACCAACTCGTGGGCGAGCTGCTGAGCTCGCTCTAAGCGGGCAGGTGAGCCCTCGATCCATGAGGGCTCTGTCACATTCTTGTTTTCAATAAAATGATTGGTATGCATGATAATGCCATACTCATCCTCCTTCAGGTGTACGTCTCCCAAGGGCGAGAGCTCCAGGCCAAGGGAAGTTGTGCTGTCGGCAATCAGGATATGTTGGCTCGAAGCTACACCTCCTAGAGATGAGATAGTCTGTAAAGCACTCTCGACGGATGTGCTTTCCAAGCATAAGCGGAGAGCTACATGAATCGGGACCTTGGAGCTAATGCATGGTCGAGCTTTTATAGCGTTGAGACAAGTTCCGACTCCAGCACTGTTGAATCCAATCTTTCCTATAATACCTGCCTATCTGAAGTGAGACAGACGAAAAAAAGTCGTGCTTCCAGATACCATAGCAGCTTACCTCAGTGACCATGCAGATCCTTGGCTTTCCAGAAATCTCAATATCCATCAACGCTAGGTTCTTCTGAATGCTACTGGTCCAATCCCAGTTCTGTGCCAGAACTCGTGCGTTGTCGTTCTTTTTCCACGAAAGACTCGTGCATCCATCTGAAAAGCTTCCAAATGATATCTCACTCCGACAGTTTAACGCTACAATATCCAGGATACCCACCCCTGCCCCTTCTGCTATGCCCTGCATCTCGGCGTACAAATTAGGTGTTTTGCACTCCAGGGAGGCTCGGAATTCCTCCGCAAGCTGGAGGACAGTCGGCCAGTCCATTTTTGTAGTGTACGCGAACATATCTTCATAGATGCCTACTTGGGATTTAATTTGCTCCTGGAGGCGGTAGCCATGCTGGAGACCAATCTGCTTTACTGTTATCTGAATGTCACTTTCGGAGAAGCTCAGGTTAGATGCGCATACCTCTTTGGGGGTACCCCTTAAGACTAGCTTAGGGAGCTCCTGAGCCTCGATATGCATGATGAGAGTATCTAAATTGATTGACAATTGGAAATATCTCCTTCGGTGAGATGTACAGCGTTTTCCAACCGTGAGGGAAAAACCCGAGGGCGTTTCTCTTACTTTATAGCGGGCCGCCCCCTCATTTCCGGCAACCTTGTTCCGAGCAGATTGATAATCGTTTGCTCGTGAGGGGCTGGAGAAGAGTAGACTTTGCACAATCAGGCGATGGATTGTTTCGTATCTTTAGGTCCCTATGATATGCGGTCCTCTCAGTCGAGCTAGTCGTGATCAGAGTGGAGTCCCGTCGCTTGCTCATTCCTAAAAGTATCGTATAACCGTCGGTCTTCATCCACGTTCTAATAGGTACCAGCAGGAAATTCCCGTCTTAGATTGAAGATTCTTTGTTCTAAAAAAAAAAAAAAAAAAAAAAAAAAAAAGTGTAACATGCTGTTATAGACAGGTATTGCATCAACAAGCCACCGCACTAGCCTTAACAGTCCTCATCATGCCGCGACGTGCCGCGAGCCTAATCATTGAAGTATATATATGTAAAAAGCTTTCAAGTTGTCCTCGCCACAACAACCACCTCCTAAACCACAAAAATCTAACAATATGTGATTATCATGCTACCCTCAAATATCATGGCTTCTACACACTAAGTACCTCCCATATAATCAATCACAACCTTCAGTCCCCCTCCTCAAACTATTATCCCACATCAGTATCCACAGAGCCAGCAAAATCCCCCCCCCCCCCCCCCAAAATGGCCAAAACCCAACACGAAATCTCACAGATAATCTTCCTCCTTAATGATCACTATGTGGAAACACACTAATAGCCTGGGTATCCCCCACCGACCCTTCGGCCACGACTGGACAGAAATGCGAAACCACGTATCTCGACTCCTCATTCTCAGAGGAATGATTCAAACAGGCTCCGATGTCCCAGAGGGTCTGTGGAACTTCACTTTGAACGAGTTTGGTCCGACTAAAACGCTTCTATTGTCTACCTCGTGCTTGGATCAGAGCGATTTATGCTCTCCACGGTCGATTTTGTTGCAGCCTTCGCGGTCGCTGCATTCGCCGGAGGGATGTCTTGTGCGGTTTCAGGAACCGCCTGTTAACTGTGTGAGGGATAGTAGAGGGAGGGGGGGGTGGTTCTGGGTCGATTGCGAGGTCGGTTCCTTAGACTGTATGGTTTTTGTGGGGTGTGATTGTTGGTTTGGGTCGGGTTGGTCTGTTGGATGGACAGATGAGATGGACAGATGGGTGGGATATCTGTGGTTTGTTTGGATATAAGTTGAATGGGATTTTGGATTGGAGTCTTGACCATGTCTTAGGAGTACATTGGATGTAATAGATGCATCATTAGGGTTTGTTGGATGGGAGTTATAGGAAAGCACTCTATTTCTGCAAGGAACGATAGCTGGGAGGTATACAAATGAGTATAACGTGAAGAGCATCGAGAATCCACGAGATAAATGATGTATCGGGACCGTAAGTGAGATGTTCAGTAATCCGGGGAGATAGTGCTATAATAGACCTTCCCCACGGTGTGCCGAAGGCCTACTGGTAACCCAGGACGGGGATGTTGTGCTATTGTAGGGAGTGTGGCAAACTTGTCAGCGGTTGAGTTCCCTCCCTTAGCTGACATACTGTAGCTTGAACGGCTGTGTAGTAATTCGCTGCATGCAGTACTGTGACCCTCTCAAACACACCAACCAGTGTGTTACGTCCATGACGAGCCATCGGCCTGGTAGCAAGAGCTTGAGGTCATCCACATTCGAAAGCTTGCGTAGATCTTCTTATTTTCTTTTTGATTTATTTCAAGAAGAGCAATGATCTGCAAACAGAAAGAGAGCAGAGAAGAGAGAGAAAAAAAAAAAAAAAAAAAGGAAAAAGGAAAAAGAAAAGAGTCTTACGAAAGAATTCCAAATCCAAGTATCGCTGATAGGTACGGAGACAAAACAATTGCATGGTAATTACTCCTAAAGATCTAAGCAAGACGCCAATGAATGCGATCACAATCACACAATGACTCCGTTATGACACTTTTCCCCCCTCCAACTCGCAGCGTAAGCTCTTAATGTGTCAACACCCTCGCTGATCAGCGGCACTTTGCGTTGCTACTTTTTCCAGAGTCTTGAATCGCCATGCGTATTGAGCTAGTTGTTGCTTCTCCGCGGGTTCCAAACTTTTGCCTTTCTCTGCCATTTCTTTCTCCAGTCCTTTCAACATGTCCCAACGTTTGAGAAGTCGGCCTTGGTGCTCTGCAATGGAGACAAGGTTGGCGTCTCTTGATGCCATGCGTTCCTCAATAGTGGAGTGGTAAGCAAGCTTGGCGCGAAAGAGTGCCATGTCGGATTCGTCGTACGTAACGCCGTCGCCTTCGGGTAATGAGGTTGGGTGAGTTGATCTTGGTGGCATAATGAATGGTTAGAGGCTTTGGGGACTTTTGAAGCTTTCAGGAACTTCTGATGGCTAGTCTAAGGCGAATGTAGCTTGGATGTTTGAGTAGGGAGGCGGCGATAATGCAGAGAGTGAAGGATACGAGGTTTGCTGAGAAAATAGGACGCTCTGTAGACGAGAGGCAGGCAGATTGGGTTGTATATCACCATCCCTGAACCGCATAGGAAAAATGTAGAAAAGGGAAAGGAATGAAATATCAGAGAGACAATTTGAAGACGGCCTCAGCTCAGTCTCCTTTTAAAGTTCAGATTGCAAAGGGTCCATCGTCCCCATCTTGCATCGTCCCTCGTAGAGGAACTTTATAGCCTCCCAGGCCCACTGGTGACAATCCACTAGGTGATACCGGGACTGCCACCGGATACATCCTACTGTCCCTGAGACTGTCCAATGAGAACGAGAAGAGACGAGAGAAGAGAAAGACATGTTTCCTCACCGGAAGAGCTGTTGTGTCGGGCGCCGTTTGTGCCAATGTCTTGTGATTCTTCATCTGCTGATGACGAAGGAACTTGTAAGTTGCCTCTTCGGGCCAAATTGTGACACCCTCTTGGAAAATACCGGCGCAACCGGCGTCTATCTGTGGAAATCCGGTCGGTGGGGACGGTATCTCTTAAAGGAAAACGGCTTCGGGATGACGATTATCATGCTCAGACGCAGTCACCGCGATGCTTCTCGCATATGTAGGGGCTACAAACCTACATACATCAGACACTGGACGGGCCGACCAAACATGGCGGAGGCCATGCGATTCGTCTGTTGCACATGGGCAAGAATAACATGAGAGGAAGACGACAGAAAAGTTTCTATGTGGAAGGAAACTACATGTAGCTCTTATTGCCAATGAGATACCTGTACGAGTCCACACATCCTTTTGGATCCAGCGTACAGCTCAAGTTTCCGTTTCCATACTTTGGGGGCAAACGGAGGAATACCAAGAGCAATTTCTTTTCCTTTTTTTTTTTTTTTTTTTTTCTTTTAAAAACTTTGCAAACGGGCGATTCGACGGGGTTTGACTTTGCTATTTATGAAATGTATCCTTTTAATCCCCTATTCGTGGTGGCCTTCGGCCAACATGTACCTAGCCGCTGAATGCGTTGTCGTGTCACCCTGAGCTGTTGGACGCTGAATATGGACAGGCATCGCGTCTGGGAATATTTCAGTCAATCAATACTTTAGTATATGAGACATACAGAGCTTGGCAGTTCAACCTATCCAATCCATTCGTCGCCAACGCGTTAGTTCCAAAGTATTCCATGGCCAATATGGCCAGCGCCGAAGTCGATCACTTCCAACGAAAAAGGGACCGTAAGAACCCTGTCCCACAGTCCATTGTGTCTTTCATTGTTCCACGAGTCCCTTCTCAACTGAGGAAAATAAAGGTCAGTTAGGTATTTGCCCCCAGAGATAAGGAATTGCGGTTCATGCCTCCATCCGATGATGATCATGTGCCCCCAGCTTGAGCAAATGGGTCCTTGCGTATGCGGTGTCATCAGGTGTGGATTCTTGAATATATCGGTGGAGACATTCTTTTTGGGGTTCTAGTCGTGTTGTCAATCTGGTAAGACAGCGTCAGGAAGAAGGTTATAATCTGTTTAGAGCCTGGCATAGCATGGCACAGCAGCTATCCCAGGTTGCCACATCAGAACAGGGGCCTAGGAACAGTAACACTCAACAAGTGCCTTTGCACGTCAGTATTACTGCCAAGTAAAGTTGGTTTTCAAGCTTTTACTTGGCTTTGCATCCAACTCCCGCTATGTCTATACGTGCGCTTATCTCGGCAGGCTACTTACTTTCTTTCTCTTGTGGTCAAGGGTCTTTATCCGGCTTAAGTTTTCGGTCTATTCCTTTTGCAGTTCGAGTCCATTCCATATTGTATCCGAAGATGGCGGCTATCGCGAAACTTCTAGCATGCTCCCTTCTCCCTTGGCTGCCTGTCGAAATGATCCCAGGGTTGCCACCCTGTGCTCTATGATGTCGTGGAGCACAATCTATGACCCATTAATCAAACTCTCCGGGTTGGCAGATCTACACGGATACTGCTTACTTCCTCTGCGAAATATAGGCTGGATGGAGGCTGGTTCGTAGTGTATCCTTAGGAGATAAGCCATGCCGTGGACCATCCCACCGGCGCGTATGTAACACTCTGGCACTGAGCCGCTGGTGTCCATAGATCTCTATTGCCACGCTGCTTCACTGGGTATCGCAGGTATTGTTTCATCACCATTGTCACTTAATGATATACTCTTCTGTAGTGTGCAATCATTATTTCCAGGAAACCAATGAAGTCGAATAGTTAAGCTTGTCAAAGGCACAGTGTCCTCCCTGGAAGAATTATCAATGGGAGTAGCGGTCAGTATAGTGCGACGAGACATTCTATATCCAGATTGTTAGCTTATGGGCAACTCAGTGTGTGTTTAGCCTTCGTCCTGCTACCGTTCACCGCGCACGGAACAGTATATGGGCAATCAAGCAGCAAATAGTGATACAAATACTTCCAGTGAAGAGGTTGACTTGCGAGTCTTATGAATGTCGGAAAATACAAAGTCATAGCCGTGTTTATACATAAACGCGTCGGCATGTAGTATAGCCTTTCAATTGCCGAGGG